GGAGCGGCGGTGCTGAGGGGAAGCGGCGGCCGAGGCCTCAGCGCAGCGTTCGCCGTAACGGCAGCCGCGGGTGCTGGGGGGCCGCCCCCTCCGCAGCGACCCCGGCCCTGGGCCCGCCGGGCTGGTGGCGGGACCAGGCCGCAGGCGGGGCCGTTTTCAAACCTGCCATTAGCCGTTATTGGACCAGTGCGAAAACACAGAGATCCGGGCTTTTCCCAGTCCCGCTGGTCGCACCTTTTTTTTTTTTCCTAGAAAATGGGGCCGTGTTTATTTTGAATAAAATGTTCATTACACATTTTAAATAGCACGTGTTTAAAGGTGGGGTTTGGAGATGCCTGTATGAATGTGTATGAGTATAAAACTGATTCTTGTCTGTCCCCATATATGTTTAAAGACAGATGGACTGAGGGGTTGGGAGCTTCAAGGGCTTGTAGAAACGTTCAGGATAGGGTGAGTGCTGCTGCTTGCTGGAGTTACTGCTCTTGAAACATTAAATATGTGTTTAAAGAACTGTATGTGCCTCAAATGAATTAAAACATCCTTCTATGAAGAAATAAAAACAGATGAAGATGTACGAGCCTCTTGCCAAAGTGGGAGGGGAAGTTAAGGAACAGCAGTGAAGTGCAAGCACGAGGACACAGGACAGACAGAGGCCATTAAAACATTGTATAAGAAATCAAAAAAATCTGTTAAGAAAACCACAGTGAGAGATGTAAAGTTTCTACAGCTTTAAATGTGCAAAACATTTCAATGACAGGCAAAGGCAGCAGCTTTAAATGTGTAAAACAAGGCTTGAAAATTAGACCCGCATCATTGCCAGAGTGTGTGGTGACTTGTAGGCTGCTTTGTGCACACACCAGCATGAAAACAAATTGTTCCTACAATACTTTGCTGCCAAATTAAAATGAGCATCTAAAGTACATTTAAAATTTGGAGACAAAAGTTTGGAGATGATCTTGACAAAAGCAATCCCTGTTGAAACTGGGAATTGGAAGAGTGTGTGTGAGCTTGGCTGAGTTACTCATTACCCTGCCTGGGTGTTGCTGCTGTGGGTCCTTCGTGCCAGGGCTCTGCCTTCCTCAGCGTGGGGCAGAGGGAAAGGAGAACTGGCTGAAGGGCTTCCCCTCCTGCTTCTGCGGCTCAAAGGTCAGCGTTGCGGCTCACACCGCGTCCTGCCCCAGCTTCCCCCGGGTGGCCTTTTTTTGTCCGCTGTGGATTACATCACTTTGCTTTGGCTCCCTTCCCAGGATCCCCAGGGCACATTGGCCGCAGAAGGGGTGGTGTATTTATTATACCCTCCCTAAACAGAAGAGGGATTATCTACAAATATTTCCTAGCAAAGATATTTCAGCACTGTTATGGTGCAGTGGGGAGATCTCCCCCCAAAATCTCAGGGGTAATATTTGAGTTTAGACCCATGTCCGTGAAAGCTCTGCAAGAATTTTAGTCCGTCCGTAGGTCGTGTTGGATTTTCTCCTCGCCACAGATACCAGCTCAATCTGATTTAACTGAATTTCAGCAAAGTATGGGAACAATAATTTGATTACAAGGTTATAAATTTGGATTCTTACTTTTATGCTGTATATTCATCCCACTTCCGCTCTTTGCAGTAACCAGACACTTTAATAATTTAGTTCTTACTGATTTTTAATTAGACACAGTAGCACTTTTTGCTGTATGGGTCCCTCAACTTCTCTCAAAGTTAGTGTATGCAGAGGCCTTACCTCTAAATGCAGACTGATGTCCCGGGTCTCAGTGGCATTAAGGAGATGAGGTACCAAGGAGAGTATAGCCCTGAATTAAAAAAAAAAAAAAAAAGAAAAAAAAAAAAAAGTAGTTAAAAGGACAGATAATTTTGTACTGAGTTAAAGCTAGCTTTGTTTTTAACCTAAAACTGCTTCAAAATATTAACAATAATGCAAAAAATAAATGGTAAATGCACCTTAATGTGAAATAATGCATGTTTTTAATGTGATTCTTTTAATCTATGAGTTTTTATCTATGATTTATTAGTAGAAGTAAAACACATTCAGGAGGATAATTTTTCAGCTAATGAAAACAGCTGCTCATTTCTTGCTGTATTCTTGGCTCAGCAGTATTAATTCAGAGCCTGGAGATGCATTGTGAACAGTAACTTGGAAAATATGTCTGAATATCGGAGAAAGGCTGATGGAGCAGAAAGAAAGACTTTTAGCATATTTTCAAAATAACGTCAGTCTTTAATTAAGCAAAGTATAGTTCTTGTTTTGAACCTTTTAAAGTGGAAGTCTATAGGAATTGAAATAAAAGCCATGGTAGAAAGTGTTTTTCTTCTTTTACCAACAACAATTTCATCAATATTGTCAACCTGATTCATGTATTTAGGCGGGGAAAAAAAAAAAGATTTCACTTGGTGTTTGAATTTATCGATCATACAATTCTAGATGACCTTCACAGTTATTTCCATGGATAGGATGACAAAAGCCTTAAAAATACCTTTTCCAGTTACTACAAGCAATCAAGTACCTTCACAACAATAATGTAAGAACTCACCTGAAATACTGATCATAGATAAAATGTTATTGTTTTCAGATCACACCTTTTTTTTTTTTTTTTTTATATAGGGTTTTGTCATACGGATATCGAAAGTGTTAGTTCTTTATCAAGAAAAAGGTTTTGTTTCCTGGTTTAAGATTTCCAGTTGGCTTGTGATGATCTGCAGAACTGGAACAGCACAGTAGAGACATCGGACTAGATGATCGGAGGGGTACTTGGATAGGAGTAGTACTACTGCAGAGTATTTGGACCTCTCTGAAATTCTACAAGCTAAAAATATTCAGTACTTTATCCAGCTCATCGTGTTATTGCCTCGCCAGCTGCCTTCCCTGCTGCTGCCGTAGCTGTTTCTCCTTCCCTACTGCCACCTTGTCCTTCTCCTTTGGGCTGTCTCCCCTCTTTTAATCACTTTTGGTTTGTCCTGCAGTCGGTGGGTGGGGTCCTGGGCAGAAATCTGTGCTCTACTGTGCAGAAATCCGGCTCTCTTTTCGCCTACATTAAGTGATTGCTAATTGGGGTGCATCAGGACATTGATGACTTTGGGAAATGAGGGCACTGTGTGCCTCAGAGTCAGTTCTGAAGTAGCAGGAAGGTTTTTTTTTTCAGTCCATGCTTTCATGTCTTTAGAACTTTTAAAGCAAACAGAACCTGCTTTTATTAAACTGTTTCAGGGGGAGGGTTGTGGTTTTTTTTCCTTTTTGCTTTTTGTTTTTCCTTTATTATACACCATTATCTCACACCTGACACTATTTTGTGAACACAAAGTGGAATTACTAAACTTTGTGATTCTGGTTTTGCTTAAACTTTAGCCTCCCCGGGTGATGTTTATACAGATTATGTGATTACAGGATGGTACAGGGCTCCTGAATTGGTTTTAAAAGGTCCCACATATGGCAAATATATGTGGTGTTTTGTTTCTTTTTTTGAGGGGGGGCATCTGTAATTCAGCTGGTGTAGGAGAAGCACTTTCCTTCACATGAACTTCTGCATGCAATGCAACATTAGCAAAAGGAAAATGATCATATAAAAGCTAAATTAAAATGTTGACCTATAATGTGCCTACATATAAAGTCAAAGATACCATTACAGTCTGGTCCCAGATTCAGTGAAAGCAGTGTAAGGGTTATCTTTACAGCACTGTCATTGCATAAACCAAACAGATCAATCTTCATTTATTTTATAAATCTCTAGAAGATGGTAATCTACGTTATTCCTAGATAACCTGTGCCCGTTTGCCCTGCAGATGATTTTCCATATTATCCATATCAAAAATGTCCAGCAGTGTTGGCGCCGAGCCCCTGGGATGGTCAGTGAGAAGGGATGCTGTAAAACTGAGGAAAGAAAGATGTGGAACTTCGGAGATGCATCACACGTGGTTGAGAACGTGGTAATTCAGAAGTGTTAGGGGTTTTCCAAGTGTGCAATTAATTACCACTAAAGATTTTACTTTGTGTTTTATAAAATTTTGTTATTGTCCACCTACTGTATTGAAATTCTGTAGAGGGGGTTCAGAATTGAGGAGAGGAGTGATGATTCCTGTCTGTATGCTCTCATTCATGCTGTTGGATATTTCTTACTGTTGTTCTTAGTAATTAACAGTGTACTGCAGTCGTTATTCTGGTGATGTTGAACTATAAACATGAAGGTAAATAGCTTTTTAACAATACAGGATAATCCCTTTATTCTCAAACCTCAGATATAGTTTATAGAGCAGAATGAGTCAGCGGGAAGGATCTGCTTTTACATATCCCTCTCCGAGAGAGGAAGCACAGAGAGGAATACAGCCGTGTTGCAGAGTTGGATTCATTTCAGGTTTTAAGATAGCAGGCTTTTTGATGAGAGATTTTTAATGTGTTTTAGCCATCCCCATGTGGATACTAGAATAAGAATATGGTATACAATCTTTATTTTAATCTCCTGATTTATTATCTGTTCATAACGTACTTTTTTCCAAGCAGTTGGACACCTCATCTTCAGGGTATTTTATAAGGAGCTTGAGTTTCTCAGGGATGGTATTTCCTGAAGTGCAGCATGTTAGAAATGCAAGGAAAAAGTTTCCCCAGCTCACTGCCTTACTGGCAAAGGTGGCTCATATATGTTAGAGAGGGTCTGAGTTTCAAACTTTGTAACAATTTTTACTAGTAATTATTATAATTTGTAACATTACCAACAATGAAGAACCCTCTATCTAATACATAGTGATTGCAATCCATGTTCCTCAACAGAAATCTGGAACACAAACCTGTTCCAGGGCGTGCAGCTTCCCTACCCAGGGTCTGTCCCCGAGGAGAGCTGTCCCACAGCTCTGTCCTTCTGTGCTGGAGAGTGACCCTGGCATCGAAATGGGCAGCAAGGCTTAGGACACCAGGAACGCATCCATTCAAAAGCACTTCACTAAGATGAGTTAAGATTTTCTCACTTGGACTAAATTTGAAGATTATTTTAACGCGACTAAAAAATGTTAGAAGTTTGTCAAAATTCAGCGTACTTTTTTCCTGTTAGTACAGCTGAATATGTGAATTCTTACTTCTATGTGAATACAATATGTGAATACATTATTCTAATTAATCTGCAAAATAGCATGTTCTATTAGAAACCCCATCCAGTTACGGTCTGTCGCACTAACTCATACGAGGAATCCAGTAGGTTTAACTGTGAAAGTCCACACATGATGTATGTGGCACATTAGAGACTGCTAATTAGAGAAGTTGGGATTTTCAGAAATGCCAAGGAGATTCAGAAGCATAAGTGCCAGTCCACAGTTTCATACACATTTAAGTTAATTTAAATTCACTGACATTATAATTACTATATTCACTGAGATGCAGTTGCAGACACTAATGGTTTTTTAAAAAATGTGTTCTGTTCAGACATCAAATCTTGTTTCCCCTGATGTCAGTGGGAATGGGAATGGATTTAGGTTTTGCCATTTCCATTAAGCAAAATCAAAAATCCAATAGGCAATTTCCTGTCATAAAAAGATCTGAGAGAGCAGATGGAGGAAGAATAATCTAATTGAGATGCATTTTTTTTTTTTTACTAGCTCACTCTATTTCATTTTTAAGAGCATACCTAAAATGTCTTCTTCCACAAAGAGAGCTTGTTCATTAAGTCTTAAAATAAATGACAAGCAAAAAGCTCTTTTACAAATCCAGAATGCTAGTGGTGATACCAGGCATTTCTAATAACCTATTAACACCACAAAAACTCAAACAAAAAATGATGAAGCCCTCTGTTGAGTAAAGACCAGCGAAGCTTTCACCAGCAGCAGGCTTTTCTGACTCATTCTTTCTCTGGCAATAGAAAATGCAGTTGCTGCAGAGAAATGAAGGATCTCTTTCATTTGTGGGGGACAAGGAAAAGGAAAGACCAGGGGCCAAGCTTTCCCCCGTGGCTGAATTACAGTGCTCGAGAGGGTTTACTCCTTCCCTTTCTGGTTCTGTTATGTCCTTCCAGGTCTCACATAGTGGGAAATGTGTTTAAATCTCTGGAGCCATTGGTTTAGTTGATGATGGGTTGACTTTGTGTTACAGATATATTTTCAGAAGGTGTTATGATACCCAATATACTTAATATGAAAAGGAGCTTTGAAGTGTATGAGAAGACAGGAAAGCAGTTTATCCATTAGGCTACTTTGATTCCTCGGAAGTCTTTGTAACCCTTCAAAATCCTTTCACAAACATTTTGAGAGCTTCCAAGAGGATTTATTTTATTTTGTCTTAGTGTGTTTATTTGGGTTTCTTTTAGGTTTCTCATGTTTAAGATGAATCACACAGAGACAGCATAAAGGGATGTTATAAAGTGACCCACTTGGGAAGTGGCCACCATCATCCAGCTGTGGTAGCTGGAAGTGAAATGGAAATACCTAATGGAAGGAGGGAGGATGTTCTTTCCGAATGAGGACACGATACAGGAAACCAGTCTCTCCTTATGCATTTAGAGGGGTTTTAGCCCACCCATTTCAGACATCTGATTTATTTGTTTTGGTTGGAAGTGTCTGTTTTTCATCTGAACAGCCAATGAAGCAGAGATTCTCAGAAAATGCTTCACATCACCCCAATTAAGCAGTAACTTTTAAATCAAATGTTCTAAACTGCTTGTGGAAGAACATCTCTATCTACTGGGATACGGATCCTGCCTTTCTCACCTGGGGCCTTTAATTTAAGAAGCTCCAGGCAGGCGGTTAAAGTTGGGCGATATCCTTCAGGTATGAAGAGGAACATATGAATATGAGATAAAGTGAAATCAGCTCTGAAAACACTGCTGGCAGAGAGCCTGGATCCCCCGGAGCTGGGCTGCAAACCCCTCTGTCTTCGGATACACTCAGAGATGATGTCACGTGTTGGAGGAAGAATCTGTAGTTGGAGATGCTACAATTTCCTGGCTGGCCAGAAGATCGGAGTTGATGATCTTATGGTACCTGTCTCTTGTTTCCTGTTCCTGTTCAAAAACTGCACGTCTGTAACAACTTTATGCTCTGTGCATGTGAATCCAATCTGCAGAAGCATAAAGGGCAGGGCAGCACATGTAAATGCAATTTGGAAATAAAGATATAGGGACAGGTCACCGGCTATAGAGAGGAAGGGGCAGCAGGGGAGGTGAAAAAGCCTTGAGTGGAGATGTAGTTGCCACAGCTACCTTAATAGTCCATTCATAACCCCTGTCTAACAAATTAGAGGAGTATTTTGGGACAGTCCTCAGCCAGCAGAATGCTCCTAAAGGGAATATTTTTTCCAGTATAATTTAGCTAAAACTCTGGGGCCCTTACCTACCCTAGAACTGGGAGCTAAAATAATAACTCACCTTCCACCCACCCGCTGTACCAATTCAGAAAGATGAGCCAAAAACTGTGAACTAGGTTACACAGCAACAGAATAAGATCCAGACACCCTAGATGTTACTGGAGTAGGTGCAATGACAAAAAAATTGAAGTAGAGAACGGACACCAAATAGCACTAGATTAAAAGATTCTTAAGAACCTAATGCTATGAATTTGTGAATAATATGATGTCATGAACAGACACAAATTCATACCTATGCACATGCTGGTAAACTAGTCACTCCTGTAGATTGCAAACTGTCCTTGGTTTGTCTGATATTCAGTGATACTCAGAGATATTTAGAGGAGCCTGAATATGTCCTGAAAGGTCCCCAGAAGCCTGTATTTTCCTAAAGTTCTAGAAGATGTCTCACAAAACGTTAATTATATGTTCTCCTACACAAGAGTAGGTTCAGAAACCAAGTCTTCACTGTGCTGAGCCTCAAGAGGCATAAATTTATCATGGAAAAGCACTGGATCTAGCCCTTTGCAGAGAGAGGAGAAATTACCCAGTGAACAGGGAAGCAAAAACCATTTTGCTGCCACGCAGACAGAGGCTGAGTAAAGCAAACACCCCGGTCAAAACAGCAGATAACATGCAATCACCTCTTAATGTATAAAGAAAGGATTTTAACATATGTCAAACAAGGGTTTATGGTAGCTTAGGAAATGCAATTTCTAGCTTTTAACTTGTCGAATGCTTGGCTTGGCCACAAAGAGGATTTTACAAGAACCTCCATACAGCCCTTTGTAAAATACTGTTTAAAACGTTTAACATTTTTCTTTATGGCACACTGAGGGCATCATGGTGTGATACAGCACTAAGCATTGTTTTGGAGTAATTTCTCTAAAAATGACTGTTCGCTTCCTCTGTGTTGTGCTGAGCCTGCCAGCCAGCAGGTGTGGCTGTGGAGCCTTTTGAAATCCACGGGATTTCTTCCAGCAGACCAGAGGTTGCAGAGAGATGTCATCACTGTACCCACGTCTAACAAGGATATAATAACGAGTTTTTCTTCACCCTCGGAAATCCCAGGGTGACTGTAAACAGAGTGCCATATGTACAGGTGTCTTTTATACAGACGTTAATGTCGGTATTTTTTATTGCAAAGGACTTGAAACTATTGGTTATGTCTTTCGCTGACAAGCTCCATTTTTAATGTATACAGCTGGCATTATCCACGGAACTACTCAAGAGGTATTTGGCTCTCTGAGTTGTTAAATAACAGATTTACTTTAGATGCTGGCATATGATTTTAAGAGAAGATATTATTTAATATAACTTTAAAAAGATCATTTCACTTTTTTGCTATCAGATTCTTACCAGAGCTGAAAGCCAAGTACAAGAAACAAAATTAAATTCTCTTTCAAAGCACAGAGGGAATAACAAATATGTAGAACTATTGAAAGATGAGAAGTGCTGTTTTTAATGCCTGTCAGAATGGTCCAGGATTTGGGAAGGCAAGAACCTGGTTTTCTTAAAGTATTGCTGCGTAAAAGTGACATTGTAATTACAACACAGTGGTGCTGGACTAGCTGTGTGTCTTCATGGGGCTGAATCAAACCAGTGTCACTGCAGTGGAAAACTGAACGTGGATTTTGAGAGAGAAGTATTTCCAAAATTAAATGGAGAAAAGTTAGCAGAGTTAAATCTGCTGTCTTGCACTTTGGTATTTCGGATTGGACCTCAATTCAGTGTTTCATTTGTATTTAGCAAAAGAATTGAATCACAGAATCACAGAATTGTCTAGATGGGAAAAGACCTTGAAGATCACCTAGTCCAACCATTAACCTAACATTGACAGTTCCCAACTCCACCAGATCCCTCAGCACTGGGTCAACCCAACTCTTCAACCCCTCCAGGGATGGGGACTCCACAACCTCCCTGGTGCGACTGAGCACGTATCCAGCTACAACTGGGTTCAAGCACACGCTCACCTGCTTTTATAGCAGGACGAGCGGACTGTAGGTTTAAACATGCTGCTGAACTACACACCTGTAGACAGAGTAAGTGCAGGGGGGAAAAACGCATGCAGGCTCCAACCTCAGACACTGCTCATATTGATACTTTCCTATTTTTCCTGTCTAATGGTGTTCGTGTTTTACAGGTGGTTTTAAACACGGGCACCAAAACCTTCTTCACTTGTTAAAGGATCTTCCAGCTAGGGGATATGAGACGTCCCTTGGGGGCCTGTGCATTTTTATGGAATACTTCTGTAGCAGATGATCATTTGCTATTTTCTTCCAGGTACGTTGGGAAAACGCTGAATGGAGTGTTCCAGCTGATGTTTTGTCATAGGTTCCGAAAATAAAAGAAAGTAAATGAAGATTGTAGGAAACCAGTCATGATTGTGGAGTCAGCAATTGCTGAGCTGATTTACACTTGGAATAACAGTCAATCAAAAAACCCAACAAAACTTGGCTCATAGAAATTTCCTGAACTGGAACAGCTGGCAGGATTATTTTTAGCTCAGGTTTTAATGTTTTATCATTTAAAGGGAAAACAGTTGCCAGATGAAAAACATTACGTACAGTTTGAACACAAGGTATTTTCTTACGTGCTAAATTTTAAATGACAGGGTATGGTTTTTTTACTACCTCTGTTTCTTAAGTTTTCCAGCCCCAGCACCATTAACAAAAATAAAGCTAATGTGAAAAATTGAGAAAGGACATTTTAGCCAAAAGCTGTTTTTCATGTGCTTGTACAATGATGTGAGGAGATGCTAGAGTCAGCGGTCCACCACGGCCCCCTAGGAAATCCCTGTACTCCTGAACAGTGATTACCAGGCTGTAGCTTGGCAAGCAGGATGACAGGCATGAAAGATTTTAAAATATTTACTTAATAGTTTTTATTGTTAAATATCTAGTATTTAAATATTCACTGTGAAACTACCTATTTAGACTTCACCGAGCCTAATTTTGTGTCTGTTTATTCTGTAAAATTAGAAGCCAGATTTAGCTTTGGCTGTAGCCTTTTATCCCAACAACTAAACATGTTTAATCTACAAGTGTTCTGAAACTTTATTTCAAAATTGTTTCAAAACAAATATTCGGTACAGCTTGATGAATGTTTCTTTTGGCAGCAGCTCTGCCTTACACAGCCCAAAGTCATGTTGTTTGTTTCCAGTCCCACATCTTTCCCTAAGCTGTGCTGGTGCTAATTGCATGTGGGGTTGTGCAGTGAACCTGGTCAAGGACTTGATCTGGACCAAAATAACCTGACCAAAGATGGTTATTTTGAATTTTGACCCCTTTCCTGCATGACAGCCTCACGAGGATGTGGTGGCACAGTGAAACCAGCCTGGGAAGAGTGAGAGTGGCCCAGGGGAAAAGAGGAGCTGCTTCACCCAGGACATGAAACTGCAGCTCCAGCTTTATAAACTGAGACCCCCTACAATGACTTTGGCCCCTTCAGTATCTAAAGAAAAAAAAAAAAAATTAAAAATTGCATAGCTATGATACTGTAGTCATGTTTTAATTAGGTTTCCCCCGTATCCTTGTCTATATTAACTGAATGTGCAATGAATTAATGACATGCTACAGGGATTAGTATACACAGATAACATATGAGGAATCTGCATAATAATGTAAGATTAGTGAAAACATGCAAACATGCATTTCTGGGAGGAAAATCTACTTAGAGAATGTAAATTACCACCAAAAAAAAACCCCTACCAGAAAATTAATAGGTATTTTATAGTTATCTTGCTGTTTTCTGTTCCCAGCCCTGATTGATGATGGGTCTGCAGCAAGATGAACAGTTACTCATTAACTGCCAAGCAACGACAGCCTGATTCAAGAGGCCAGGCAGTATCCTTGATTGTTGGTATTCGCTGGGTATAAATACCTGCAGAGGCAGAAAAATAAGGTGGAATTAGAAAAACTAGCAAAAAAACTGCTGTTCCACATATTTAACTGAAACCGGTAGGGTTTTGGGTTACATGGAAACTGTGTTATTGGGGCTCTCTTGTCGATCCTGTATTTTTGGGGAGAGAAGCAATTTGTGCCCAGTTGTTACATTATCTGGTATTGCAAGGTGTCTGTAAAGTATTTGCAGAACCTTGCTGAGCAGCAAAGCTAATACGGCAAGGGAACTGCAAGAGTTCATCAGCTGTGAAGTCTAGAAGCCTTTGTTTGTCATAGGAATTGGAAAGCAAATTCCAATTCTTACTGTGATAACTTTTCCTATTGCTGTCACATATTTAAAATTCCTCATTAGCTTTCCTCTGTTGCATTTTCCAGGTGGTCACTGACATTGCTAGGAAAAAAAAAAATATAAACACCCTACACTAGAGAGTAGGACATGGCAGAAAGCTATGAAAAGCGTGGGATATTAAAAAAAAAATCCTAAAATATAAAGAGCTCTATTGTTATGTTTAAGTTTAAAACAAAGATATCTCTTGTTTTGGGGCTTTATAGCATGGCAACTACTTAAATTCAGCAATTACAAGATAAAATCTTGAAATATGATCAGAGTTTTGGATAATATTTAATGGCAACAATAAATTACACCATCAAATTTAGGACAATTTGGGCACATCTTAATTTCTTCCTATTTAACATTTCATTGTTTATTAAATTTAAGCATCAGAACTGTGCAGTCCTTCTGATTTTCCTCTCTGCCCTGTGCTTTGCTGCTAGCCTGTTTCTGCCTGAGCAATGTCCCTGCTGTGGCAGGATTAATAAAGCACTGCCTGACAGATTCTAACTGTAACAGCTGCTTTTATGGGTTATCAGGTGTGGGTGTGAAAAAGCCGCACTGGCCCTCTCAAGAAAGAAGATCTGCTGTAGATAAACCTTTGATGACATCACCCGGGTGTAACCAACACTTCAGAATGCTTCAGAAATCTGTAAGTATTTGTAAAGTGTATATCCTGCACATGGCCCTGTCCTTACCTACACTAGGCTGGTACAGCTCCATGCTCTGCACTCAGTACTGGGACAATTACATCAAGATTTGGATGCTAGGCTATTTTAAAAATCTTTTCCTCTCCTAATGCATTTTTCCATATAAACTTATTTTGAGGGCTTGGGCTAAGCAGGGAATTTGGGGCTTAGTCATTAAACCCAGAAAAATAGGGGTTAGAGCTGAGAAAAGCAGATTTCATTCATTGCATCCCAGCTCAGGAGGTGGAAGAGCATACCCTGAAGATCCCAGAAAGAGAACCAGTATCTATGAGGCTCAAAAACCCCAAAATGGGGTGAAAAGGAGGCAGAGCTAGCAAATCCTCTAAGAATCAATAATAAAATATTTTCCATTTTAAACGGCCAGCTGGATCTGACACTAGCCTGGGAGATGGTTGGATCGTGTTCCTTCCTTGCTGTGCTGCTGGCTGAGATGGTTTGGGGTAAATAATCTTGTTGCTGAACACGTCAGATTCCTTATCTGTGAAGTGGTATTGACTTTGCAAAGCCCACTGAGAGCTACTGATGCAAAATGCTCTTCTGGAGTTGGTCTTAAAATATCAAGCTTTTCCCACAAAAGACTAGTATTTGAATTCTTTTAGAAATGTTCTCAATTTGTTCAGATAGAAACAATCGTCAGGTTTTAGAAGGGTGGTCAGAGAAAAGCAGATATTCAGCTAATCTCTGCTGTTAAACGCTGGGAAATTGGTAATGATTTGCCTATATGCTGTATGTCTCCTGTCATTCTGTGGAGTTAGCAAATACACCACCACTGAAAGGGGAAATCATAACACGAGCAGGAACCTCCTTGCTGGAAGAAAACAGGGGTGGGAGGAAAGATGCCTCTGTGAGCAGTATGGAAATAACTACCCAATTCAGAAATATTTATTGCACTTAGTGATGCAGCTGAAGGCACGTCCTGACTGCAGCATCACCAGCCGTGGGCTGTGCAAGAGGATCTAGTGCAGTTAGACCAACCACGCAGCGCCAAGAGTTCTGCTCTTTGCCATCAGTTTATACCCGCTTTTAATTATTTTCTGCAGAGGAATTCATATTAAAATTGTTAAGTATTTTATTGCACATATGGATAAATGTTTAAGAAACATGCCACTGTGTGCTCAACTGCAGAAGTTGTATTTGCTAAGTGAAAAGATTGATTTTCAGAGACTGCGTCATACCTTACTTACACCAAGCATTATTCTGAAGTGTTTCAAACAGATTTCCTTTCTTGCTGGTTGCGGGGTGTTACTGATAGTAAAAGCCGTACTTCTGAAACCTCTGTTCTGCAGCATTCTTTAGGTTTAATGGAGAAAAAGTTGCACCAGCTGTTGAAGCAAAATAGTTATTTTCCTAGCGTAAGTATTTTGGACTCATTGGTTAATTCGTTCCTTTGTTCTGTTGCATAGAAAGCTTACGCAGACTGTGATGAGACAAAATTACATCAGATATACAAACATCCTCTCAAAATTCAGAACTCAAATCTTCCCTTGAGTCACTTGAATACAGCTGCTAATTATCTCATAGA